CTGTCACACCCTCTGTGTTTGATCCTGCACACAGGACCCCGAAAGAAAAGGGAAAATACTGCTGAGTGTGGCTCACAACAGGTTGTGGCTGCTCTCCTTTCCTGCCGATTCAATTTAGAGGGGAACCACAGGCATGTATTCTGAGCAAGACTTTTGCCCTTCGCCACAGTTAGAACCACAGGAAATGAAACAGGTTACTGGACAGATAGCTGCATCCCATGCCCGTTGCCGCATTATTGACAAGAGCCAAATATGGAAACGAACTAACGAACTGTCAGGGGATTAATGGGTAAAGAAGATGGGAGGTACATAATGGATTCTTATTCGCTCACGAGAAAGAAGGAAATTCTGCCATTTGTGACATCATAGTTGGACTTGAGGTCGTCGTGCAAAGTGAGGTAAGTCTGAGGGAGAAAGACAGGTCCTGTGTGATGCCACTCGCATGTGGAATCGGAAAGAGCCAAATGCTAAAAACAGCAAGTGCAATGCTGCTTACCAGGGGCAGGAGCCTGGCAGAAGAGGAGGGATGTTGCTTCAGGGTCTGAACTGGCAACCCGTAGACAAATACGCCCTGGAGATCTAATGCACACAATAGTGAATGCTGACGGCACCATCGTGTGTTATCACCATCACACTCGCTAACGGTCTACGTCCTAATTATTCCAGGCACTGCAAAGACGATACTGTTGTGCTAGAGGTGGTATCACTACAATGGTAGTCGTGTTACAACACATAAACGTGTCAAGGCAACATCTCGTATACCTCAAATTATGCAACGGGTCTAACATATTTCTGTTACAACATTGACCATGCATGGCTGCTGTGGTGTGATCATAAATGAGAAAAGGAATTCGTGGGGGCTTCCGTCAGTGGCCTCCACTGGGCCCTCTGCCCCCTTCATCACCCCAGACCCATCCATCCACTCGTTCTCCCCCAGTCGCCTTGCCACATCCTCATCTCTTGACCCTGTGACCTTCAGGCATCCACCAGAAATCCACCAGCTCTTTGACCTCCTCCACCCCCTTTAGACTTCAATAGCGCACTCTTCAGCTCCCCTCTTTGACCTTTTGGCCTTCCAACCCTTCATGACCACTCTTCTAAGGACCTCAGTCTAACCTTCCTCAGCTTGGTCACTTCTGCAAAGTCCATCACCATGGCCTTCTTCCACTTACCTTCTACCTACGCCCCATTCCAATATCTCTTCCCTATGTGTGTTTGGTGCTTTAGCCTTTAATTTGTAGGCATCATCGTCACCCGCAGGGACGCCCATCACTCCCAGTTCTCCAATCTCACGCCCTTGCTCCTGGGCTCTGCCTTGCCCACTGTCCCCTTCAGCTCTCTCATTGTACTGTGCCCACTCTGCCTTCTCCGCAATGCCCGTTGTCACTCCCAGTCCCATCTTTCCAACACTCCATCTGACGTGGACTGTTGTCTTCCACCAAGATCTGTCCGTCCCATCTGAATTCCCTTTCCACACCATGGTTTTGATTTTACTACAAAATTTTCATTTAAACTTTATTGTATGTTTCCCATTATCATTTAGCCCTCTTATACTTCCCTGCCCCAGCCACCACTACACAGTTTCCATGTCCACTTTGTCCTTTTTGCTCGATCCCTCCATCCCCGAACCTCCTAGGCCAATTATCATCTCTCCGTCTATGGGTCTGTCTCCGTTTTGCTTGTTTACTTTGTTCATTCAAACACTGCATGATTTCACTCTTATGTGCAATCTAAACCACATCATGGCTTCTAAGCCCACCACATTAATTGACCTTTCCTCCCTGTGGCCCATTACTTTCCTTCCCCATTAGAACACTGATTCCACACACGCTCTGCATCATGATCTCCCCCGATCTCACTATCTTCCCTACCTTAATTCCTGCACACTCTGCCCACTTGCATTTACACCCGCAACATTGCACTTTAATCTGAACCAACAGGAAAAAGCTTTTGCCTTTTGTCTCTCTGCCTTTTCCTTCCCTGCATTCTCTGCCACCAGTGGCCCCCTACTTTCGTCCCAGGGGACATGTCATCCTTATGTCCCTTTTCACTTGTGGCCTATGCTTACTCCAACCTGTCACATATCCACGCGCTGCTACTGTCTCCCTAACTTTCGTTTTCCCAGCATTTGTCTTGACGTAAGGTGGCAATGCTCGCAGCACATTACAAGGCTGCGCATCATAATAAATATTGTCCTTGTGATTGTTGCAGGATTAAAAGGACTATAAAGAGTAGGAAGACTCCCACCACCCCCCAGGCATCCAGAAGTCTGTAGATATAACAATTCTTCTGTATGAGATCATATTGCTGAGATACACAGAAGAATGCTGACGGATTTTATGCAGGAGAGTAATTGTGAGTTTAGGGGAGTATGTACATTCATGAGTATTTACACATGTCAGTTGAATAATCAAGTGTTCATTGTGTGCATTAATGGTAGTGTGCAGTTGAAATTGCGTGAGCACGTGATTGTGAATTTGCATAAGTATTTAAATGTGTGGCTATATTTGAGTGAATGGGGATACATGTATGTGCTTGTATTTGTGTGTAAATGATTCAGTGTGTGTGTGTGTGTGTGTGTGTGTGTGTGTATGCGCGCGTGCATGTGGGGTGTGTGGGTATGTGTGGAATGGGTTGTCCACCATGTTGGCTCTAACAAATGACTCGACCTTGAGGGTGACTGCATAGTGGACGTGGATCCAAAAGATGATTTGTGTGCTAGAAAGGCTAAAGAAGTAAAATTTTTTATTTGATAATTTCAGGGACTGGAAGGGAAGGAGGGTGGGAGGGAAGGAGAGATAGAGGGAGAGGGATGGCAGGGGGGAGAGAGACAGAATTTCTTGATTCACTTGTTGATGCATTCAGTGGGTGATTCTTGTATGTGCTCTGACTAGGGATTGAAGCCACAACCTTGACATATTCGGACAGTGCTCTAACTGAGACACCCATCCAGGGTAGAAAACCTAAAGAATTAAAAGAAATATGTAATTCATATATTTTTCTCTTGACCCTTGAGCATAAATCTCTTAATTTAAAAAGCGGTCACAAGTCTGTACTGAAAATTTTTCAAAGAACTAGGTATAGAAGGCTGTGTTGACCATTTCATAGTCTTCTAATTTTCAGTAAGAGGCATGGCCTTCTGAAATAGTTCCAAGACAGGAGAATCTACCTCTTCCCCTCTATGACCCTGGGTGTGTGTATGAGAGGGATTTACTAGAAACGTCTGTCCTTCCTCTGAAATTGTTCTACCTTTGCTTTTCATCACCATTGGAAGCCAACATAACGAATGTGAATTTTGCCACACAAATTTTTCTACAAGCTGATACTTCAGCCGACCGGTAGAGTAATAACTAATGCCTATTATCGACACAATGTTTTTCCAGTTCTTATCCCTCTTTTTTGATCTTTCTCAGAGGTTTGACTCAGATTATTTTTTGCTTCATGCATCAACAATGGTGCAACTCTGTTGTATGAAGATTAGGAAAGTACTCACTTTGAGTGTAACTTCCCAATGAATCCGAATGTGCAGTGAGACATGCACACCCCTCCTTGTCCCTCAGGGGTCAGACGTCAGCACTTCCTGCTGTCTGACCCCAGGGAGACCCAGTCTGCTCCAGGGATCTTGAAAAGAAAGAGCCTGGAAAAAAACAATCCGAGAGTCCCCTGAGAGACACTGGCGAAAACTTGGTATTGCTTTTGGTAATTTCAGCTGGGAAGAAAAGTTTGAGAAATATCCTCAGCTCCCAAGCCTATTAGTGTCACTGCTGCTACCGCCGACATGATAATTGCAGTTCTGAGGGGAGGTGAGGTCACCAAAACAAAACCCATATCTCAGGGTCTGGCTGCCTCCCTGGTTAATGTACTGACAGTGCTGACTTCACAATGAGCCAGCGTCCAGGCAGCAGGAAGAAGCCAGGTGGCTGCTCTCTCTATCAGTGTGAGAGGTGGAGACTGTAAGGCAAGGTTTTGAATCAGGAGTCCCGGTAAGTGAACATCCTGGACAAAGGGACCTTCTCAGAGTGACCGTGGTCCGGTACCAAAGGTGGGAGGGGGAGGCATTCTTGAGGCTTGAGCTGCGCCGGTGGCTCCTGATGTGATGTAGTGTGGTACTCACAGTCATGGTTGTGTTTTATCCAGAGAGAAGGAAGCCTGATTTTTAGTGTGCCTAAGGTCTGGAGTTCTGGAGCCTGCTTCTGTTCATTGGAATTTACAGCAATCACAGATGTAATTACCAGGATTCTCGAGGGGCAGTGTAATACCTGCATGATTTCAGTCGATAGGAATCATCTGATCCGGTGCAGAAAGTGTGCCTGAGAGCATCTGCTGAAGTAGAAACTTTTTCCTCTAAGTCTGGTGTCTGTAGGGCCAAATAGAGTTAATCATTCTGTCTCTATTGATTATGAGGAGACTATTCCCTTTTAACATTAGAGAAGCAGCATAAGACAAATATAACCTTATAAATTTCAGTCATCACCTTCAGGCTTAGATGTATCTGGTCGTAGTCTGCTTCCTTAAGTAGGGTATAATACCAGTCCAGAAAAATATACCTTTTTAATATAATATACAGGTTTTTCCCTTACCAGATATTTTACATGTAGCCTTATTGCTAATCATTCTATTTAACCTAGATCTTAATAAGTATTTATATAATCTGGAAGTAGCAATAGTTTTGATTGCACTGTACATTGTTTCTCAGGCACAACACTTTTCTGTCCCATGGTTCTGGCAATTCGTGGATTCTTACTCCTGTTCCTGGAATAAAATCTAATGAGTGTTTCTGTGACCACCCTGATTTTGCTGGCATTGTGAACTGATGAGAGACAAAAAAAGATATGACAGGTATGAAATCTATAGTAATGAATATTTAAAAATTTTTCCTTAATGATAACATTGAACCCTTGGAAGATAGTAAACGACAGGAAAACTGTAACTCAGTATTTCAATTCGAAAGTTGTTAACTGGAGAATATCGGGGTTTCAGCTACCAGGATCCTTGTGGCTTCTGCCTCCTATTCCCATGCAGAGTCCTCTAGTTGAGAAGACAAAGATCAGGCCCTGAGATCACACAGCATGGCCACCAGGGATTTGGCTATAGGAATGGTCCTGCTACTACACACCGCAGTCGGAGGTTTGGGGAATTTCTCTCTGCTTTACCATTATCTCTTCCTTTACTTCACTGGGTACCGACTGAAGCCCACAGATTTGATTGTCAACAACCTGACTGTGGCCAACATTTCAGTTCTGTTTTCTAGTGGAGTCTCCCATACCATGTCATCTTTTGGGTGGTATCATCATCTCAGTGATTTTGGATGCAGACTTATTTACTATGTCCGTGGAGTGGGCAGGGGTGTGTCCATCGGCACCACCTGCCTTCTCAGCGTCATCCAAGCGATCACCATCAGCCCCAGCAACTCCAGGTGGGCAGAGCTTAAACATAAAGCTCCCAAGTACATTGTCCCTTTAATTTTTCTGTACTGGATCCTGCAACTGTTGGTAAATGTTGTTTTTCTTATATTCCTGTCTAGCAATTTGAGCCACAAAAATATCACAAATACAAAAAGGTTTGGGTACTGTTCATCTGTTCGTCATGATGAGACGATGGACTCATTGTATGCAGCCTTGTTAACATCCCCTGATTTTTTATGCTTTGTGCTCATGCTCTGGGCCAGCGGCTCCATGGTCTTCATCCTGTACAGACACAAGCAGAGGGTCCAACACATGCACAGGACCCACCTCTTTTCTCAGTCTTCGCCTGAGTCCAGGGCTACAAAAACCATTCTTCTCCTGGTGAGCACATTTGTCTTTTTGAACACCCTCTCCTCCATCTTTCATATTGCTTTATCTATTTTAAATAATCCCAACTGGTTCATTTTGAATACCACTTCTGTACTCTCTCTGAGTTTCCCAACTGTCAGCCCTTTCCTGATCCTGAGCCGTGACTCCACTGTCTCCAGGGTCAGCTTTGCCTGGCTAAGGAATGTCAAATCCCCTAGTATTATGAGAATTATGTAAGTTGTATGTTTATGCACAATGTTCACTTGTTAATTCACTCATCCCTCTCAGAGTTAGAAGTCCCTTTATGAGTATGTTGCCTTAAAATGGTACACAGGTCATGCTGAGCACCCTCTTCAGAGTAAATAATAATTTATAAATAATAATTTGAATGAAATATCATATAACTGCCTTGTAAATACATGTGTGCTTGAATTATTTCTAAAGTTTGCCACGGAAGAGTTCTGAATTGATGCAGTACTAACTGTCAGGTCTTGAAACAACCTGGATACTATAGGGCAGCCTTCAAGTGTGTAACTTGAATCTATCAAACAATTTTGAAGAAAGAGCAAGGCAGGGAATTGTAAGAAAAGGTACATGAAGCGGGACAGCAGGTAGCAGGTCACTGCTGAACCCGAAGCCATTGGTGCTGGAGGGAAATTCGTCCATGAGGAAAGCCTGTGGGAGCCAGTTATGATCTTGTACGTGACACCCTGAGAGAGAAAGCGGTCCTTTGTTTGAAATAGGATGTTATATCTGGATGTCTTGTTCATACATAGTCAGGTAGAAATGCCCAGATTTGACTGGAGTGGGGCACAGGGGAGCATGGAGTTGCATTTTAACTGATGTTTAAATTACATCACGAGAGTGGGACGATTTCAAAAGGCGTGAACTGCACAGGATTGGGGCCTGCAGAAGGCAAATGCTTCCTTTGTGAAGAGGAGCTGGGCATGTGGACAAAAAAGGAGGTCTGGAGATGCGTACCCTTGTCTCTAAAGTGATGACACTAGTACTAGTTCATGGTGGGGACTTCCATGAAATCTGGAGCCGTTAGGAGAAAAGCAGGAATTAATCTTGTGTATGTAAAGTTTATAACTCAATGACTGTCAAAAAGCAAAGTGGAATTTCCTTACTTTCAGTAGGTATTTCTGATAGTTTTGTCTGTATGTACACTTTGAAGCAGATAGAAGGGACTGATAATTCAACATATTGAAGGACAAAATAATTATTTTGAACCAATATACATATATCTGAGCATTGTACCACCCTATATTTTCAGCTTATGTGAAACACGGTAACAATTACACCAAAGAACATGAAGAAGAAAGAGATGTATAGAGATATACACATGCTGGGAATTGTGTGTATATACGTGTGTGTGTGTGTGTGTGTGTGTGTGTGAGAGAGAGAGAGAGAGAGAGAGAGAGAACGCCTGTGTGTGCCTGTGTGTATATATGTAGATACACATTTCAATATAAAGTCACTCAATATATTGGAAAGTTGTGCGTTAATAACAATTTTAAATTGCACTAATGACAATAATGTACAATGGTGACAAATATTTTTTAATTTAAACATACTTCATAGCTCAAGAATGCTAAGCATCACCTGGGCCTTCAATGAGTTATAACCTTTTTGCTGGTGGAGGTCTTGCCTCGATGTCGATGGCTGGTGACTGAACAGGGTGGTGACTGTTGAAGGTCAGGGTACAGTAACGACAAAAATCTTAAAGTGTTTGTAACCTACTGTGTATATTGCCATTCTAGTTGTTTAATGTTTGAAATTACATAGAGTGTATTTAACGCTATTCCTTGGCCTTTTCCCCGAAAAGACATTCATAAACGTAGTAAAAGATGTGTGATTTCACAGGAGTAATTAATCTATTTAACTTTAATATAATACTTGATACATTGTGGCATGACCAGAGATCATTTTCTTAAGGTATCTATGATAACATTTTTGGTTGAGTTTAAAATATAATTACATATTGTAGTTCTAAATTATAATGAACACCTTTTCTTTGAAAGCTACATACTCATTACTCGTGAGCTTCTAACCAGAAATCTCAGCATATATTTAAAAGCTAATTACACAGTGTCACTTCCTCTAACCCTACTAAATGCCATCTCTATGACATGAGGATACTACAACACTAATATATTTACCCGATCCAATCCCTAATATTTCTGATACATATTTTAAAAACGTAAAGGTTCACGCGGGGTCCGACGTGCAGAGCTGAATGACAGTCCACAGAGTGAACACATCTCCGGCCCGAGTACTTAATTAATGGAATATTGTCAGACCCCAAAGGTCCAGTCTGCACTCTCTCTGCCGCTCCTCCTCAGGATGAGCAGTGTCAGAGCAGAGGTCACTTCCCTGGTTTGCACTTCATAGAAAGGCAGTCACAGAGCATTAACTCTTTTAAGTTTGGTGTCTGTCATTCCTTGTATTGTTGCTGTATCGATTGCTGCATGTTGCTGTTGATCATTCCATTGCATTGCGATATAGGATTCTACTGTGTGAATACAAAACACTTAATCTGGTCATTTGAATTCATTGGTTTGTGGATAGTTTCCCGTTCGAGACTATCAGGAATAGTGCTGGCATGTAAGTTAGGGACATGTTCTGATGACAGAACAACACATATCATTAGGCGGTATAGGTGATGGTGGAATTGTCGGGTGACAGGTTTGTGTTTCCCACCACTATGACATAATGCCAGAAAGGCCGGGAAAATGTTTGTACCAGTTTCTACATCAAACAGCAGTGTAAGATTATTTTTGCTTATTCTCATCCTTGTCAACACATATTTTCACAAGGCGGCGGGGCAAGGAGGCTCACTCGGGCCATTGTTTTCAACAACGTCAGTCCCATCCACGAGGATGCTGCCCTCCCGTCCTAATCATCTTCTAAGTTTCCACACGTCCTGTACCATGACCTGGGGGCGTGGGTTCCATGTATTACTTTTGTGGACACACAGATTATGGCAGAACCCCTTGGAAAAAGGCAAATTTCTTTTTAAAATCAGAATATAATAATACTTAGTGAGGCAAACTACCCTGTCTCTCTTCACTCGCTGGAGGAGGGTTTCGTTCAAGTACCACTAACCTCTGATATGCACCGTTTTCATCGTATGGATGATGTTCTCCTTGTTGAAGGCCTCGGTCTCCATAGCACTGTCCAAGGTGTCATCGCCTGTCTGCAGTTGAAGGTGGCTGATGCAACCTGACCATATTCAGAGTCTTCTTTTCCAATGACAGCTGACCAGGATTCTAGCGCAGACGTGCCGTGCTGAGTTCTTTCAGCAGCGAGGGAACAACTGTTGGCGCTCTGGCTTCCCTTCGTCTACAGGAGGCTCAGCCCTCACTAGACGCGTGAAAGATGGGAGTTGGCACAAGTCTCTGTGACCACCGATTCTGTCCTTCAGACTCTCTGGAAAAGGAAGCAATCTTTCCCTGGAAGCCCCTTTGGTGTATGAACATGTGGCCCTCTGACAACTAAGAAGTCCTCTCTTTTGAAAGCAAAAATTAGCCAGCTACAGGTCTCATTAAAAATGGAATGTGTGCCCAGACCAGTATGGTTCATTTCGTTGGAGCATCCTGTGGACTGACAGTTCACGGGTAAAGTATCAAGGCACATACTCAGGTTATGGGTTCAACACCTGGTCAGAGTGCATATGGGAAGGAAACCAAGTCCATGTTTCCCTCTCAAAGCGATGTTCCCTTTTCTCTCTCTCTCTCTCTCTCACACACACACATGCGCGTGGGCGCGTGGGCGCACTCCCTAATGAGAAAAATGTCCTCTGGTGAGAAAAAATAAACTTGTGTGATTCCATGAGCACTTGGGACCCTCTCTTCCTTGATCTTTCCATTTTGGAGAGAATACATTTAAGAGCCCTTCACCAAATGTAGGAAGAACCCAGAAAGGCCTGCTTCTTCTGGAAAGTGGATATTTGAGAATGAAGCTAGGATGGCCTCAACAACCTCCCAGCTTCACATGAACAAGTGGTCCCTGGGCTTTTGGAGAAAGTTTACGTCCCACACTGTCAGCAATGCCCCTGGCGGTAGGAGCCCAAATCCTCTGAGATGCTCTTAAATGCGGGGCCCAGCTCCATGGTGGTCTCGGCTGCTAACCAGCATCTAGGACTCTGCTCGCTCGATGCCAGTAACAACCAACACCCCCGCCCCGCCCCCGTTCCCCCCCTCCCCGCAAACGGCATGAGTCACAGTCTTCAAACACTGGCAAATGTTCTCCCAGGCACAAATAACTTTCAGTGTAAAACTGCTGTTTTAGGACAAACACTTCTAATAATTGCTTAAAATACTTTTGCAACAAAGTATTGAACTACATGGATCATCTCATTTAAATTTCAATGTGGATGAATTTTAGAACGTTACGATACAATGATGGTGTTTCATAGAGAATCACACGCTTTCGTGTAATATTTGGTGCACATTAAATGTTCTCAAATGTTAAAGAAGGGAGAAATGATTACATTCTTTGAACTTCATCTTAACCAATTTTTTTAAAAATCAAGAAATTATAAATAAATAGAATAACCTGTGGTACCATAACTCAGTGAAGAACACAGCCTTTTGAAGTAAATATGTATGTGCTCTTCACACATCCTATTATACATGACACATCTACATAAATATAATTCACTCAGACGATGATAATCTGACAGCCTCTACATGCTTAGCACAACGAGCTTTACTGCTTACCATGGGTCATTCATGCCTCTTGTGTGTCATCCACAAAGCTCTCAGGGCCGTGTTGTCACAGGCATCACTCTGCCTACTTCTCAAATCATTCCCACAACTCTTACTGTTTCTTTTTGAAAATGTTTCCATTTGTTCCTTTTCAGACAAATTTGTAGTAACAACACATTTAGGGGCACGCTCAAGTTCCTCCCGATGACAAATGGTGAGAAAATTACTAGGCATCGTGGAGAGGTGGTTCCACACCTTTGACACTGCAGCCCAGTGTCTCCTGTCGGATGAAGCTGGGTGCAGGTGATAGGCGATTATGGGAAGTGAAGGCATTTGTGCACAGGTCACCAGCCCAGTTTTCTCCCGTAGTGGCTGGACCCGAGGGCTCACACTGGCTACCGCGGTGACAGGACACAAAGGCCAGCAATTTTGCTTGAAGCCAGCCCTCGGGCCTCTGCCCAGGACCCAGCATGCCCCATCCATTGACGAACAAGACTATCGGAGGAACACACTGGAAGATATTTG